CCTATATTATTAATAATTTTTACTAGATATAGAATATTTTGTTGCTTTCGCAAAAATGTAAGAATTTAGCAAAGTATTTCATCTCTTTTTTAACATTGTGATTAATCCAACAATGATAAATACTTGTTAAAATATTATTGCTAAGAATTATTGTAGATGCAATCAATGTAAACAACGGTATACTAGTATATACGATTACACATCTTTGATAAATGATCTATAATATAAGACCGATATAAGTATAAATATAATATTCAAAAATTAAAAGAAAAATAACACACCTGAATAACAAGTTGTGGAATAGCTTTGACAAATAAATGGCATGTGGTGCCATAAAAAATCCACTTTTTAAAATCTGCAGATACTGAGGAAGAAAAGATGTCAAGTCCAGCAAAATTTGAAGACAAAGCATTTAAAGCTTCAACAGTAGTAATGGAAAACAATGTAAAAAATGCAACAAGATTTGCATTTTTAAAAAACCATTCACGAAAATTTATGTTGCTTTGTATCTCCTTTGTAAGCATGATAAATGATAAACTTAGATTGAAGGATATTGATGCTATCAAAATTACTAAACTGTTTATAAGTCGTGTTTGATAAAGTAAAATGATATTAATTAAATAGAGGAGTAACCAATAAATAATAAATTGATAATAAATTAATAAATTAGACATGCCTTGAAATAAATAATGATGGTACATCATGACCATTCACAATTATAAAAGAGAAATCAAGAATTAAACCCAAGATCATCAATGATATCTTGAATATAATAAAGTTTTGACCCTATATGTAAAATTCATAAAAAGATTAAGCAATAACAAAAAATTATTACATAGTCAAAAAATATAACTTATGTGCAGAGTTAATGTACCTTTGGATGTCGTCTTTTGGCCAACCAATAAATGATGAATAGTATAATTGTAATAATTAATAAAATCAATAATGTATATCTAACCTCCAGCCATAAATTTGCTATTATCAAAATTATATTAAATATAAGTAAGTAAATAATGTATATATAATCTGAGAAAATTACATACGTTTTGGTTGAAACCCATACTGATCGTCAAAAAACATCATATATTTTTTATTCAAAAGAGCACTTATGTATTTATTTTTTATCATGTCGTTTAAATCTCTGATAATATCATTTACACTTGGTTCTATTGAAGGATCGGTTGCCTTATTAACGGAAAATTCAATTAGAAGTTTTGTGGAATCTGAAGGATCCAATTGAACATTACGAGTTATTTTTAATCGATCATCAGTCAAAGGGATGCTCTCCTTAATTTGTTGTAATATATCGTCAAGTAATTGAGTTTTATTTGCTTGATCATAACTTAAAAAATATTTGGTACCATTAGGATTTAAACGCAAAAGTGCTTCAGTTGAATCTGTGAAAATTTTTATAGTATTAAAAGGTGTTTACGATTATACAGTAGATATAAGAAATGGGGAATGCTGCATTAACTTACAGGAAACAGCAGAATTATATGCTTGAATAAAAAAGATTTATATATTAGAATAGAGAAAAATGGTGAAAGCGATATAAATTATACTCACTTTTGGGTGTTTTTACATTCCAAATACCTACATCAATTCCTTGCAATGGCTCATTAAATGAAAAAGCTTTAACAAAATTGTTATAAGCAACAATAGTATAATTGCTGTTAACTCGATTAAACGTGCTAAGTAAAGTTTTACAAGTTAAGGTCGAGAAGTTATACACCTTACAATAAGAAGATGTAGGGTATTGTTGGCGCAATAAAAAATTATTTGGATCGATTATTTGATAAATTGAGATATTTCCGTAAAATGTAACTTACTTGTAAAATCTCTAATAAAAATGCTACTCAAATCGATTGTCAATGGTAATAAAGCATAACCGGTTTATTTAATGAAAATATGATCGATAATTACTGAAAAAAGCTAGCGTTAGAATAAATATTGATCTTTATACGTAATCTTGTAATACAAATGCATTTTTTTCATAGTTGTTATTCTCAGATCTACAACCATTACATTCATTTTGAGTAATATGTACGCGACCTGGGAGAGTTTTTCTACACGATGACAATTTAACACAGGGTCGCTAAAATAAACATCGGGTATTATTTTGAGAACTATAGGTATAGATTTAATATGTACAGTAAGCTCCAAAAGGTTAGGACAGTTATACAAAAAAAATCATAGAAAAACAATAAATAAATAAATAAATAAATAAATAATAAAATAA